TATGTTGCGTGTTTCTGGTGCACAAGCTACAGCCACGCACAACGGAAATGGACGACAGAGCTGCCTCTCTTGCAGCCCCAGTGTGCGTTCGTTTCTGCTTCTAAAACGACGTGAAGCAGAACTGAATACTGGAGAACATTACTGCTGTGTTCAAGTTGTACAAAATCGGGCAGATGATCGCAGCAGTTTTCCAAGCCTCGCATAGCATTTCAATTGCTAAACACGTTTCAGCATCCACAGTCCGTCCGTTTGTCCATCCATCTTCTTGGGCCACTTGGGCCAGCTCCTCCAGGGGAATCCAGGCTGTCTGGGAAACGTGTTCCTCTGGATCGCCACATTTCTATAGAAACTCCATGAACAATCAGGGCTTCCTGAGACACTAGAACGATGAAAGGCCAGAATAGCACTTTGCTCCACTCTGGTGGTTGAAGAACCAGGAGATTAAACAGCTATAAATATCGTGTTTCTATTTATTCAACAACTTGGCAACTAAAAGGAGTTTTGAATTGTTTATTTTGTCTATATATCATTTGATTAAAAATTGATTATTTAACTTAAACAGATCCCAAATTAATATAATTGTTTCTGAGCTCGTGGTTTTTTAAATTATAAATGTCTATTTTGCTGGCATATAATTTTTGATTAAAATGCAATTAATTTTGATGATTTAATAATAGACCCTGCAATTAACCCAATTCAACATTTTTGATCGAGTCCCACCACAAATTACTATCGAACTGAAGTATGTTGATGGAGGCGACCAAATACTTTAAACACGCCCCCAAAAACAAGAACTTAAATGCTGTAATCAAACACATTCAGACTTAAACATGCAGATAAATTCAGCTCCACACTTACAGGCCATGCAGAAATGGTTTGCTAAGACAAATTAGCCAATCACATGACAGGATCTTCATGCATTTGGCATCCAGTTGTGGTGAATACGAATGTGTCATGACGTTGGTGATAGTGGAGCCAAATGCACAGAAGCAGCAGCAGCAGAATGGAGTTGAAAGTTTAAAAAAAAAAAGATGATAAAAACTTTTAACAGGATTCAACAGGAGGAATCAGCAAGTAGTAAATATACTGGGGATCTTGATTACTAGAACAGGGAACAGATGGCCGACTAGAAGCAGGTTGCAGGTGTGAGGGGAGAGAGAGAGAAAATGGCACAGGGGGCGAGCAAGAGTACGTGAGACTAGGAAATTAACCTAACACTAAAGAATAACTGGACGTAAGGAACATAATTAAACGAGACTAACAAGGAACAACTAGAGACAAGAAATAATCATCATAAACTAGAATCACTAGGAAAGGACTGAACTAAAGTAAAACAGACACAAAACTGATGTAAGCAAAGAAGGAGGCTAAGGAATACAGAACAATAAACAAACCTCAAAACAACCCAGAATCCCAAAAGAATGGGCATTTTAAGAGACTATGGTTGCTGGTGTAACACTGGATGGTACTGGGATGTTTCCGTGGACAGACCACCGGACCAGCTGACTCTATGCCTCAAAGAATTAAGGAGGATCCGAACGGGAAAAGGCTCCAAAACCGAACCAGCTCAACGTACCTCATGAAGTGGCAGGTGAACATACATTTCTAGTCAGTCTGTTAACTTCACAAAGCTGGACACATGAGGACCAGTGGTGACTTCATGTCACAATCACAAGAAACATGGTGCAGTTCATGTAATAACTCATTACTCTTGATTCCAACGCAAATCAGTCTTGAGCTTTCAGATAGAGATCAGTTCTAATGGTTGTTTATGACATCCCATTTCCAGACACATTCACTGAACCAAGCTCAATTATTTTTTTAGTAGATCCCGGTTATTGCAGGTAGATTTCACAAATACTTCAGACGCCCCTCTGAAAATGAAATATTTAGATATTTATGCATACTTACTGAAGAAACCTTTGACTACTCAATCCTGAATAGGCGGGGCTCCGCTGGACTGAATTGTATTGCATTTGTATATTTAATTGACACCATTTTTCTCAAATTATGATAAACATACATTAAGATGAGAATCATTCTAGAAACCCACACGATTTTTTTTTTTTATCTGATCTACAATTGTTTTTATCCTTTTATATTTTTATTATGAATAAAAAGTAAAGTGCAGTACAAAGGTTTCAGAATGAATAAGTGAGTATGTGTGTGATTAATGATTCCCTTTTATTTGCCTTGTTGCTTCACCCGGGGGGAACAGATGCTGCAGGAGTCTATGCAGTGTTTAGAACTACATCAGTTATTTCTAACACACACACACACGCACACACACACACACACACACACACGCACACCCAGATCATCAACAGGAGGGTGTTTTCTGTGTGTTGTTTAAGGCCTTCATATGTACAGTAGAGCCAGAGAACAGAGGCTGATGAAGGCGCTTCAGGATGCATAATGACAGCTGTGTGCTCTGCCGCGCTGAGCTGACTCACATTAAATGTGGGCGTGCAGCCTTTTGTTGTTTTTCAGATGTGTTTTAAGTGAACTGTCAGGGCGTGGAGTCAGAGCACAGATCATGCGCGAGCAGCTGTCTGTCAGGAAGCAGCACACAGTCATGATGCTCCGATGGTGACAGGAAAACGTGGAGCACAGCCTTTTCTAAATGGGAATCGGAGATAATGCTAAGGTTTTTTCTTTTATATTCCTGCACAAGTTTTATTCAAAAAAAGCTGTGCTAAATCAAGTGGATGAGGGTTTAAGTTGGTCTTCATCAAGCATCAAAGTGAGCATGTGTGGAGTACGGGTGCACTGATGTGAAAATCTGGGCCGATGTTGATATTTAATTTTGAACATTGCTGTTTTGGGTGATAACCGATATTTACTGAAATATTTCACTAACCTTTAGATACCATGAAAAAAAAACAAAAAAAAAAACAAGTACGCCGCTGACTTCATCACTGCTTCTGTTAAACTCCCCACAATTCTGCGCTGCGTCACTAACTTCACTTGGACTTATTACAGCAGGGCGTCATGTTGTATCTTACAGTCTCACCTCTCACACTGAACCATTTCATATGGCTGACTATCAAGATTTGATAATGGGGCTCAGACAGTGTGACACAGCTCCACATTTCTAAATCATCCAGGGTGTCCCAGGGCTTTAAGTGAACCACCAAGGAAACACAAAATCTGAGACTCCAGACCAAAACCAATCACATCGAAAGCCAAGACCATTTTTGTTTAGACCTGTTTCACTAGATTATTATTATTATTGTTGTGAGCCACCATTCAAAAGTAATGTCTGATTTTCATTGGTGATTTTTTGTATTCCTCTTTTGATTATCATTGTTATCGACTTCAAGTTATTTAAGTGCCTATTGTGGGCTTCAGTTATTAGCAGAGGATTACCAACTATTTTTTTACACCTGTGTACATTACAATAAAATGAAACCGTATCAAAAGGTTTCTGTATTTTAAAGATGCAATACAAAAAGTGAAACTCGTGCAGATTCCTTACACACATGGTGATATATCTGGTAACAGTTTATTTGAAGGGATCTGCATAAGACTGACAGGCCCCTGTCATAAAAATGACATAACACCTGTCATGAGCATGCAGGAGTCTTCATGTCATTTACCGAATGATAGTTCATGTCAAGAGTCATAAACATTCACAAAGACTCCTTCATGTTCATGACAGGTGTTATGTCATGTTTATCACAGTGTCGTGTCAGCACACCCCTTCAAATAAAGGGGTGCCATATATTTCAATAGTTGGTTTTTATTCATCTTGATAACTGTGGCTTACCTCTAATAGAAATCCAAAATTCAGTGTCCAAAAAGATTTTAATATTTTATAATACAAATAACAAGAAGTTTACTTCCCTATGATTGCATAGACTGCAATCATAGGGAAGACGGCTGACTTGACAGTTTTCCAGGAGACTGAAATGCCATACAAGGGGATTAAAGAAGCAGGATCTTCCCAGAGTGCTGCAGAAAAAGGGAAAAAGGTGCTAAAGCCCTAGGGATAACCACAGGGTTCAGGATTGAGAGGCAATGAGAAAAGGCTGTAGCATCTGCATCTGGAAGATTGAGGGGTCATGCAGGGCTTCCAGAATACACTATATTGCTAAAAGTATTTGCTCACCTGCCTTGACTCACATACGAGTTTAAGTGACATCCCATCCCAAGCAATGTGTACTGGTGCACAAAGCAATGTCTTATTGTGCTGAACCATTCAGAGTTCCTTTCACTGGAACTAAGGGGCCGAGCCCAGCTCCTGAAAAACAACCCCACACCATAATCTCCCCTCCACTAAACTTTACACCTGGCACAATGTAGTCAGACAAGAACCGTTCTCCTGGCAACCGCCAAACCCAGACTCGTCCATCACTCCAGAGATCGTGCCTCCACTGCTCTAGAGTCCATTGACGGCGTACTTTACATCACTGCATCTGACACTTTGCATTGTTCTTGGTGACGTGTGGTTTGGATGCAGCTGCTCGATTATGGAAACCCTTTCCATGAAGCTCTGTTCTTCAGCTAATGTGAACGCCACAGTCATGATTGACTGCAGAAAGTTGGTGACCTCTTCGCACTATGAACTTCAGCATCCACTGACCTCACTCCATCAGTTTACATGGCCTACCACCTGGTGGCTGAGTTGCTGTCATTTCCAAAAACTTCCCATTGTCCTATAACACAGCTGACTGTTGACTGTAGAATATTTAGAGACAAGGAAATTTCACGACTGGATTTGTTATCACAGTTCCTCGCTGGAATCCACTGAGCTCCTGAGAGCGACCCATTCTTTCACAAATGTTCGTAAAAACAGTCTGCATGCCTAGGTGCTTAATTTTATATACCTGTTTATACTCCTTTGATATTCTAATTGAAAACTGCTTTTTCTTCAGGCTCAATTTCAATGAAACGAATATTAACATTTCAACAGTTTAGAGTTCAAATTTAGGTTGGATGCTTACTCGGAAAAATGCAACGATATAAAAAAAGAAACCTCTCAGTGATTTTGTTCTTACCTGGTCCCAGTCTATATTGCGGAAAAACGTGTGTGACTTGATATCTGTGAAGCCTGTTTGGACCTGGCAACCCAGGCGCTCCTTGGGATCCTGTAGGGATGAAACACTGGTCAGGGTCATATTTACAAACAGGCAACACGTCTGGATCAAAGTGAGTTGTTGGACTGCTTCAAGTACGTAGTGAATGCCCGATCCATCTTTTGCTGCACCGCGGCCGTTTCACAGCCGAATGCTGGATGTAATGGTCTAAGTTAAATAATCGGATGAACAGAGCACTGAGAACTTCGCTGCCCGTCCAAACACTTTGCTGTTTTTCTACACACACAGCTCCCAGAGGTGATGGGTGTGGACGGCTCTCACCTTGTTTAGAAAGCCCTTCAGCACGCTGGCAGCTTTCACTGACAGAGACCTCGGGATGCGAATGGGCTTCTCGAGGATAACTGTCAACAAAAAAGAAGGAAGGCAACAGGAGGAGAGAAAGAAGACAGAGACAATGAAAGGGCAGTCGTGAGTTGGGAGAAGCGTGATTCAACCTGCCTGTGGGTGACCATGTCTGCTGAGTGGGAGTCAGAGGAAGGGAGGACACGCAGTGAACGCTGCTCTGTTTTCTGCATCACGTTCCTTGCTCCACTAATAACCTTGGAACTCACACAAATGAGAAGAGCTTGAAAACAGTTTTTTTTTTTTTTCACCTTAAAACCTCACTTCAAGGATGTCCAAAGCATTCATGCTGAATTTCTGTTCAAGGTAATGTGTTCAGAGCAGAGCGTGTTTTTCACTCATGTTTCAGAATTACACACTGAAAAGTGGCTCTGCGCGTTTACACACATCAAACCGCAGCTACTAACTTCTCCGCTTTAGATCTTTCTGGAATCGTGCCACTCCTGGTGGCAGCGTGTAGGAGTTTCTCTGTTCTTTCTCAAGACTTTAGTTCTGATGTTTTATTTCTTTTTAATGAATGTTAGGGCAATTAATCCCTCTGGTTCTGAATGATGTGCAGAGGGAAGAATTTTTACTTTTTCCCCCCATTAGAACAGTTGCCATCACCCCAAAACTCAGAGGGGCAGAAAAGGAGGCTCTGTGGATGCAGAGCAGAACCAGCGAGCAGAGAGAGAAGGAGGAAGTTCATCATAGCAGGCAATGATCATACCCAGACTCCAACAGCCCTCTGCCCAAACAACCAGAGAGAGAAGGAGCAGCAGCAGCCAGGAGTTTGTTATAATCCTTCCTGCCTACAACATCGACTCTGACGATACTTCGACTATAGGAGTTACAATGACATTTAATTTAACATTTAGATATTTTTAATAAGTATTTCTGAATTGAGAGGCTGAGAGATTTAGACAAATGGCACACAGACCAAGGAACGGTTGAAAATTGACTATATTAGTCAAAGACCAGTTTCACTCTTCTGCCAGGGGGTTTCAGAGTCTGTTTTCCTCTGAGGGAACATGGTTCACCATGTCCACCACGGTCTGCATAAAAATGAGCCACAATAAACTGTTAAAGTCCAACACAATGGGAAAATTACATTTTGAATACAAGGCATGATCCTGGTCACTTTCCACTGAGTAGCAGTTTATTTGGAAAAGCAAAACCAATATTAGATGTTTTTACAGTAGTGAAATAAGAAGGCAACATCGTGGTTCACAATTGGTTTCTATATTTCTTAGGGTGTAAAGCACTTTGAAATGCCTCGGACCTGAAATGTGCAAATCTTTAATACTGTCTAACATTTCTTGCTGCAAATTGTTTTTATATTTTTAAAAGTTTGTTGTTGTTTTTTTTGTTTTTTTCATTTAAATTCATGTATAAACTCTTGGTTACAAGCAGCTCCACCCGCCATTCACACCTCAGGATGATTTAAAAAAGAGAAGGCCTTGGACCAAAGCCTGCTAGTTTGTTTTTAAAAAGATAAAGTTATTGAACTTAAAAAAAACTGCATCAAAGTCTTCAATTTATTTTGAAACGCTTCCCCTGTACCGCTCCTGGTGGAGCGTGCAGTGGGAACTGTCGGGTTCTAATGTCTTTGTGGGTCAAACAGGAGGAGCTAACGAGTCGGAGTTCACTTCCTGCAGGACGAAAACTGAACCCTGATTGGCTTCAGTTCAGATTACAGCTCAAGCAGTTTCTTCTGAGTGCCACATTTGTCTTCTTGATGGTATTGTATTCTCTTATTATTATTCTCGTGGGGTTAATGAGTTTTGTGGTTTTATTTGTGTTAGATTTTGAATGCTGTATTAAGTTGATATTGGATTTTTAACTGAAAGCCCAAATTTGTATTGCAAAGCAGCTTATGCTACATGTTAAAGTTCTTGGTATTATGGTAACCCTTAACACTATTTCAATACAAATAAATTGGGTTCAGTGTTCATCATAATATATTATTGCAAGTATTTTATTATTTTAAATACTATGTGCAGTAAAACAACATAAATTATTCAAGAACATTTTTATAATGTAATTTGCTCATTTTTAAATTTCTTAAATTCTCCCCTCTTGTTCCTGCTTTGAGATAAATTTCTGGTTGATTATCAAAAATAACTCCAATGCTCTCCGGTCTCTGAGCATCTCAGCTCTGGGGATGGCATGTGCTGCACCAACAGCCAAAGCACACCCATGGCACCGGCTCCATCTCGGTGCCATATGGTGGGTGGCTCTTCTAGTGAAAGGGTCGGTTTCCGTTGGCAGGCGTTCGTCCAGGGACCTGCTGATCAGCCACAGTAAAACCACCAGGAGGACGGTACTGGTGGCAGATGCGAGCTGTAGCGCCGTGCTATAAGGTCCTGACGGTCACAGCTGAGACAAAGTGCGTCACACTGTAGTATGGAGGAATTTCTGCTGCTGCGGACAGTGCGAGGGAAGGGAGGAGGAGGTGATGGGGTTGCGCTATGTAAGGAGACCATATGGCTCGAGGAAACACAAACACAAATAGAAGCAGAGAAATTCTCTACAATGATGAAGTGAGATGACACCTACAGCTCGTTTTCTGCTGAGCTCTCACTCTTTAGCACGCCGTTGCAACAAAGTTCGAAACTGGAGGCAAGATAGTCGGATGTGTATTAGCCATCTTTTTTTTTTATATCCAAAACCCTGAGATTGTATTAATGTTGAAACATCCAATAATGATTGTCAATATGCAAATGAAACATGTTTCTTCAGGTCTCTTTAGAGAGAGCTGCTACAGATATTAAAGAGGTACCAAAAAAAAAAAAACTATTGAGGTGAAGAACTAAGCCCAGTTTATAAGTTTTGACATGAATAAAACGGCATACTGATGTAAAGAAAAGAAAAAAAAACACTCAAACCACAAAGTATGGATGCAAACAATTGGTTGACTTATGATTAATTGTTGATTAATAGTTTAATTTATTAAACTGAGTTCCATTTGATTAACTAATAACATGAGCTAACACTTTCTTTCAGTGTTGCAGCACATAAGAAGGAACCACTGGTCATCCTTAAGCCGGAACTGATTGAAAGAGAAATAAACATGGCGGAACCATCCCAGAATGGGAAAGAGAAATGGCCCAAACAGAGTCCGCTGTCAGATGCTAGTCGCACTTTAAGCGGTTCTGTTTTGAAATCTAAACATTCAAACTCTGTGAGCTAAGTTACCACCTTAACTTACATATCAGCGTTTATTCAGCCGATCTGCAAGACGGAGAACTGTCAACTTCTCAATCAAAAATTACTGATGTGCTACGAAGGCGAGAATGATGCAGAAAATTTTTTAACATGATATAAAAAGATGTGATGCCAATAAGCACAGTTGATTTTGAGGGATGTTGTGTGTGAGAGCACTTCGTTTAACATTCCTTCAGGAGCAACCATCACTGCCTGCTAAGAGGTACACTACAACAAGAGGGGAGCTGGATAGGAAGCTGGACTAACAACACAAAGGGACTAATAAAGTATTTTAGAAGTGAATAAATTGAAGTGAATCTTGGCAAACAGCAGGTGGGATGAACATGTTGGTTTCTGCTCTGAAATGCACGTCTGTAAACATCCGACCGGCTGAGAGAGTGACTGGATGCTGACACGTTGCTCCCTGAAAACTTGAACATCTTGTTAGAGTGAAGCCAGTTTAGTTTCCTCCTTATTAGAGCCATGTGTGTGTTGTTGCAACAGCTCTGTGTAAATAAATGAGTTGGGCCAGCCTTTTAAAACCACATCAGTTTTATTTGATTGAGAAAATCCCCAAAACCTCACTCAAGAAATCTGACTACTTCACTTCCCATCCTTCAATCCATGTTTTAAGAAGGTAGTGAAATGTTGTATTAAAAGACTAATCCTTTAGTTTATGACACAAATATTTCAGTGACATAAATGGTTACTTCCATGTGGTCAGTTAAACCTGGCATTTTAATAACTGGAGCTCATTTGTTCCCTGGATCGACTGGTCCTCCGCTTAGATACGTCCAGCTTCTGATGCAAAGTGATGACATCAACCAAACACTGATTCAGCTCCCTCAGCTGCTGCCCAAGTTGAGTCTTTCCTGAACAGATGGAGGCCTCCATCTTGGAACAAAGCTAATCTGCTGTGCTAAGCAGGACTGCAGCCATCCTGCAGTTGAATGAACATAGATGCTATCCATAGATCTTGATGATTAGGTCATCATCTAGAGTCAGTCCTGGGCCTTATTTCTGACAGGTGCAAGAATCAGTAACATCCTTCAGTTTGTATTTAACCTTTGACCCGTTGTGCACTCCTACTTTCCATATCCCACATAACCCAGTGAGATAGTCTCCCATCACTCAACAGCAACTAAGGGAAACTTACTAAACTACACAGGTATCAGGTATACAAGTAGTAGCAAACCTGTTCAGGGGACAACTGACAGATATACTTTATTTTCTAGTTCTTGGCTACCTCTCCACATGCAGCCAAACTCATAAACTGCGTCTGCATGCACAGTTTCAGAAAACATTTTAGAAATTGTTTTATTGTCTCAAACCAAACTTGCCTGAAGATTCTCAGTTTTCCAGGTTTTTGTATTCAGGAAGGTTTAAAGGTTTTGTCTTAAATTAATGTCCCTCTCCATTCATTTAACATGGAACTTGTGGGACGAGGTGGCGGTCGCTTGTCCTCACAAAGCCAAGCGACCGCAAGAATGTGTACATGTGAAATTTTGGGCTTGTGCACGTAGATGTGCACAAGCGGGCTGGCAAAGCAACACAAGAAAGTTGAAAAATGTTCAACCTTTGTTGCTGTTTGCTGTCGTTCGTCACTCCCCTCGAGTCAAACCCACAACGTTCTGCTGTGAACTACGTCACCCTCAACAGGAGAGAACCTTTTAGGTCGAAATAGGTAGATTGATTAATCTGCTTTATGGATTGCCAACACGTTAAAATCTTCAGATTGATAGCATGCCTTGAAGAAATAACATTAATTATAAAGTGAATTATGGCATCGGATCTCTCTGTATCATGTTGTATTATATTATATTAGATGTCATTGAATTTTATTATCCTACTGTGACTGTTGTGTCAGCTTTGGTCCTTACACAATAAAACAGTGCAGGTCTAAAGAACTAATCTTGATATATACCCTCCCTAGCAACTGTTGGACTTCTCCAAATGTGTCCTTATAAAAATAAAATTGTGACAAACATTGAAGCATTTCCTGCTCAAAATCCTGGATCCATCACCAACATTTCGTCACTGAACCGACAGAACAGAGTTCTGTGATTTCAGGTGGCTCAGGATAATGATCTGGCTCCATCTCTGCTCGATGAAAAGTCCATCAGTTGCCAAATGAAGCAAAAGCATGAAGGAAACACTCCACTGGTCCTCACATGCAACCGAGTCCCATTTGTTATAGAGGCCATGATGTACTGCCAAATCCTCCAGGGCTCATGTGGGCAGGACTTCGTACTGAGGATGTGTTTTCAGCCAACGTCATTCCGAGTTCAAGCGTTTACTCAGCACACGCTGAAAGATCGAATAATTTCACCTCTTTTAAAGATTTATGTGATAACATGAACTGTTATGGTATTTGATGAACACAGTTTACAGTCACAGATTCCATCCAGTTACACTGAAGCAGCAGAAACTGATCAGGAATGGCTTTCCTTTAGAGCAGTGGATGTTCAGAGTGTTAGTCCAGAGCTACGTTATGTTACTGCCAGATCACGCAGACAAAGATGATTGCCAGTTTAAGGTCCAGTTTTTCTCTGTAGCACTGAAAAAAATCCAGCTAGTAAAAAAAGGCCCAACTTTCACACTTACACTGTATACTTTCTGTAAACTTCATTTTATTTTGTCAGCTGTAAATTTGTCCAAGTTTCATCTGAGTATGCCTGCTCTAAAGCTACACTGCTATAAAATTCACTTTCTTAATTTCTGACAAATTATTTTCTTAATCAGTTTCAAATAATTTTGAAATCAACGGTAACACTTTATTTGAAGCAGTGTGCATAAGACCGAATGACAGTCATAAACATGACAACACCAGCAAGAAGGAGTTTTTATGAACGTCTAAGACTATTGTCATGAGGTTTTTTTAATGCAAAGTTTTTCTAAAAATTGCCTTGAAAGTCCATTAAAAGTGCCAACTTTGAATGAAAGTGTCATTATTTACAAAATAATACAAAGTTGACACTTCTAGTGGACTTTCAATGCCACCTTTAGAGTATCACTGCATTAAAAGAATGACGGTTCATGACACCGTTCATAAAGACTCCTTCATGTTCATGACAGGTGGTATGTCATGTTTATGACAGTGTCATGTCAGTCTTATGCACATCCCGTCAAATAAAGTGTTACCGAATCAACTAATAAGGCTTAAACCAAAGACGAGGCATGTGAAAAGTGAGGCAAGTGAAGGAAACCTCTGGACTACTTTGAGTTTACAGCCCATGAAGTGACTAAACCCAACGACTTCCAGCTTAGGTTGAAGGCAAGCAGAGCAAATGACTGTGTCTCACCTTGGAAGAGGTATTCCTCTGTGTTCATGTCAGGATTGTCAGTAATAATATCAAACGGAGACCTTCCGGCCATCATCTCGAACATCAGCACACCCAGAGCCCACCAGTCTACACTGAAGCCTGGGGGAACACACACAGGATGGGCTGGTAATTAGGCAAAGTTTGTCATCATAAACTCGTCTCAGCAACACTTTTTGTTGCTTAGCGCTAACACACATTAACGCTAACACAGCTTAGCAACCTTACAGGACAGAAATCCTGAAATGAAACTAGATTTCAGGTAGTGGACTGTCGCGCTACAGCCAGCATGTTCTCACCATAGTCCTCTCCTCTCAGGATCTCCGGTGCAATGTAGTTGGGGGTCCCACAGAAAGTGCTGGTGGTGTCCCCTGGTCTGATGCCCTCCTGGATTATAGCATGATGTGAGCAACGCCGTCAATGTGGGGACAACAACAAAAACAGAGGTTATGCTGGAGCTTCCAGTTCAGGCTGCTCAGCGCGGCAGACAACACGACTAGAACGTCAGTAAATGTTTGGCTCTTGTAGACCTTGCACATGCCGTAGTCCGTAAGCTTGATGTGTCCTTCGTGGTCCAACAGAACGTTGTCAAGTTTTAGATCTCGGTAAATAATCCCCTTCTCATGAAGGAAGTTCAGAGCGATGCAGATTTCAGCAGCATAAAATCTGTGAAGAAAAATGTTTAAATCGTCACACAGCGCCACCAGCTGGCCAAAGATGTGCACACACATACCTGAGACTATATTAAAGTCACTAGTCTCCAGGGTTTGTGCCCAGATGTATTGCAAAAAAAAAAAAAGTGTGTTTATTTCAATAATTAGCTTTAAAAAGTGAAACTTAAGACAGATTTATTTCTAAAACAGAAATGGTATGTTCTGACCATTTTAGGGGAAAAAAATCAAAAGGTTACCAACACAAAGTGATATAAGTACACACCACACTTTTCAGTTTTTTATTTGTAAAAAAAAAAAAAAAAAAAGTTTTGAATCATGTATAATTTTCTTTCTGCGTGGTCTGTCACATTAACTTTCAATAAAACATATTTATGTTTGTGGTTGTAATGTGGCAAAATATGGAAAAGTTCAGGAGGTACGAATGTTTTTACAATCCACTGCAGACATGTTAAAGACACGTATGTGGAAGGAGGTGCTGCACTTTTCAGATGACTTGATACGGCATCGTGATCACACATTTCTATAGATGTTCTTAATCATGGCATACACAATTTAACAAAAAAAAAATCAACTCTCTGGACAAAATAAAACATCTGAAGTGTAAAAGGAAACGGATATTAAGGTTTTTTTGGCTTTCTGCTGCTGCAGATAATCTGGTCGCTCCGAGTTTCCTTGCGCTTCTGTAGTTTCGGAGCACTATTGGAGCAGAGTTCCTAAACTCGCCCGCTAAACAAGTGAAACTTTGGACAGCGCTGCGGCGGCACTTTGCAGCAGATCCTTCGGTCTCCCGCTGTGATTCAGGCTCGGAGCCCGTTTGGTGATGATAAAATGTACTTGGAGAGCTTCTTTGGTGAGTCAGCGGTGTGTTTTCTCTCCGTGTGTAGGTAGTGTTTTCTGTCTCTTGGAGACAAGCCTTCATTAACTCTGACAAGGCTTTCTGTGTCTGGCTGCTGTAAACCAATGATTGTCAAACAGTGAGGGAGGAGGGAGGAAAGTCTGCGTTTGACAGAGGAATCACAGATCCCACGGCGCTCCCCCACATCTCGGCTCTGGCAGCCTCTGTTGTTCCTCTGCTGCCTTCAGACGGCACAGAGACACGTCCTATCAGCATCACCCGCGTCGCCCACTGCGCGGGGGAGCGCGTCAGGGCTCTGTCTAAGAGCGCTGCTCATGAATATGTACAATCGTGATGAGTGCTTAACATGCTGCTTTGCATATGTACAGCCACTGTCTCCAGGTTGCAGATTGAAGAGGCCGATCGGGGGCCCAACGGTGCCTCTCTAAATTACGGCGCCTTTGATCCGAAATTTATCAGAGCTGCAGTCGGAGTGCCCCTGAAGCAGGCAGGCACGATGAATTATGGGTCCTCGCTGCATTTCTTCCAAGATGTAAAGAAGTCTTAATTCAGATTTGGAAGCGTCACAACGTCCCCGCGAGAGGATCTGCTCGGTGTGAAAACGGAGGCCCCGCAGGAAAATGTTTATAGAAAAGATCTTTAGTCGCTACCAACCGACCGCACTTCGCCAGATCCTTTCATGAAACCGATGCTCTTTGTTCTCGGAGAACGCTCCATCCCTCCAGTGAGTCCACGTTTAAACAGCTGGTGGTTCCATGCATGCGTCTCCTGAGCAGCTGTCACATCAGCTTAACCAGAGTCCAATAAAAGCACCGTTTACTGATCCTCCTCCTGGCCCTGCAGCAGATGCCTCTCAGCTCTAATCTGGCCCACAGAGATTTTTATTGCAGCGGATGAAGAAAATCCAAACACAATTTATATTACTACCTCGAAATGACGCCGACACATGAAAAACCTAGAACAGTAACCATTGCATGTGAATGAAGGCCGGTTGAAGAGGTTTGAACGCAGAACTGGACGGAGGCTTGGATCATGTGTGGGAACAGCTGCTGAACATCTGGATGCTTACCTGGCATGGTCCTCTGGGAGTTTCCGCTGCCGTTGCATATGAAACATCAGATCCCCACCATTCACATATTCGATCACCAGAAATAACCTGAAAATACAGCCAGGACTTTTTTTTAATCACCCACAACGTGGCAAACATTAAGAAGAACCACTTAATATGGTACGTTTGCTTTACCATACACACATTCACACACTGAATATTACTGTTGAAACAAAACGCACGCCAAAGAACACCAAAGTAAAACCTGTGGTTAGTCAAACTAAAGCTCTGCTCATTTAGGTGGGACATAATTTTAGTTTTATTAGGACGGAGATTTGATTCGTTCTATCAATAATTTCTGCCACAACTGGCCCATTGAGGACATTCATGATTCACAAAGTGGCCTGAAATGAAAATGACAGACTAACCCTTGAGTTAGTCTGTTTCGATGCTGAGGAGTCAGTGGACTAACGACATAAAACATTTGGAAAAGAAATGTAATGTAAAGGCAATTTCATTGCTGTAAGCATCGTCAGCAAATGCAGAAAAACCTTCAGTGTCCAACTTATGAATGGAATCAGATCACACAACAGCTGAGAACTGCTAACACAAAGTGTGTTTTCTAATCCAAACAGTGCAGAAAGCAAACAGGAGAGCAGAGCTGATCCAACACGTTGAGGAAGGTCAAAAAGGAAAACCATAACAGAGTGTAAAGTTCTGACTGTTTAATTGTGGATCTTGTATTTGTTTAGAAGGACCTGGCCGGTCCTTCTAAACAAATACAGTCGCTGGGCAGATTGTCATGTGATTTCTGTCTAAATTGTCCTCATCAGATATTGATCCAAATGCAGGAATACTGGACTTCATTATTAAAAGAGCTGAACTTGGATTGCTTAGCTGATTTAGCGTTCTGTTAAAGGCAGAAAATATCAAGACAACATTTGAGGAGTGAATTGATTTTTTTTTTTAATTTAAAAAGTCCTTCTAGTGTTCAGAGAGCACAAAAAAAGTTGTAGCAGAGAAGAGCCAGCCTCTAAATCAGCGCTGTCGGTCTTATCTGGCTCTTACCGACTTTCTGTCTGGAAACAGGAGTGGAGGCCGACTAAGAATGGATTTGTAGACGCCTGCTCAAACACATGCTTCTCTGTCTGCACCCAGTCGATATCCTGCAGAGAAGAGCAAAGACGGAGATGGCAGATAATTACAATCAATCTGCCTGATCGATGGGCTTCCTGATACTCCTGTGATCAGTCGGTTCATGCTCAGGGTGATTCAGACCGTTTGCTTCTCTGAGTCGTCCCAGATAAAAGACTGCACCTTGACGGATGGGCTGGAACAAGGAAACATTAGAAACTTGTCTCACAAACTTATCGACTCTCACAAGTGACAGGCTGACGGTAATTGCTATAGCTCAGGAACGCTGCAGCTCAGGAACGCTGCAGCTCAGGAACGCTGCATGTCAGGAACGCTGCAGCTCAGGAACGCTACAGCTCAGGAACGCTGCAGCTCAGGAACGCTTTAGCTCAGAAACGCTTCAGCTCAGGAACGCTGCAGCTCAGGAACGCTGCAGCTCAGGAACGCTGCAGCTCAGGAACGCTTTAGCTCAGAAACGCTGCAGCTCAGGAACACTGCAACTCAGAAATGCTGCATTTCAGGAACGCTGTAGCTCAGGAACGTTGCAGAAACCTTCAAGAAGGCCAAACTTTTCTATCATGTACATCCTGTTTCATTCATCACAGAACGTTAAAATAAGCCTCTAGTTGATTGAGCATTACAAAGCATTACCTTTGAACCACAATTCAAAGGTAATGCATTAATTTTCATTCATTACCAGTAATTTATTTATTTATTATGACTTTTTCCATTTTATAATTTTAACCATGTCCAAAGGAAATTCCTCTATTTTAAAATGTAAATACTACGTCTGCTTTAGCAGGAGCTGAAATATGGACAGTTTAATTTGAATTTATATCCAAGAAATAAAAAAAAGGAAACTTGTGCTTGGCTGATGTTCTCCTTTGCTGTAACATGTTCTGGAAACAAATCCGATCTGGAATGTGTTTAGTTTCCTTTAAATGGTCCCACACTTGTAAAGAAAATGCATCAGTGTGTTGAGCAGCAGAGTTGACTATGTGGATCCATAATTCCCTCCATCAGGGCCAAACAGCTTATTCTGCTATTGACTCTGGTTTGGAGTCTTTATTGGATTCAATAATATGTAAAAAGTCAAGACATATTGACTATTTAACAGTTTGTTCATTTACCAAAAGAAACAGCCAGAAGGACAATATCCTGCCTTTGATAAAATAAAAAAAAAAACATACACTCTTAACTATATAATACGTTCATTTTCTTTTTGCCTAGCTAAAACTTAAAATTTACGCCTTGAGAATATGCACATGTAATTTTTACAAGTTTTTCCCACTATTTCAGTTCATGTTGTTCAGACTGAAGCCTTTCCGGCTCAGGCAGCAGCACTAAGACACGGGTCTCATTTCCTCATACGGGCCAGTTTTAAAGAAAGAATAGATCTGAAGTGAAGCAGAAGGCGTTCTGTGGGTGATGTTGAGAGTTCTGTGATCAAGAATAACGGGGGGAGTTCAGCCCATAAAACTGCTGATTTCAGGGTAATTAAGTCAGCTTTCCAAAAGTAGATTTATTTTTCAAAAGCATGTTTCACAAGAGAAATAACTGACTAAACTCTATAACCTATGTTTCTGGAAATCTGTCCTCGTTCTGGTCTTTGTGTTGACCGACATGCTTCTATCGTCCTACAGATCAGATCAAAGATGCGCTAAGCCAGGGGTGTTCAAAGTGTGGCCCGGGGGCCATTTGTGGTTCCTGGATTGTTTTTTCTGTGTCCCCCAGCTGCAGTTCAAGAATTACACTAATTTGTTTAAATAGAAAATGTTAAGACACAAAGTATTCATCCTTTTATAACCAAGCTTTCATAGTAATTAGAACCATGTCTATCCACATGTTTTTACTGAAAAGCCAACTCTTTTCATTAACTTATTAAACTTGGCTAAATATAGCAAACATTTTTGAAAGAAGGTAACCCAAATTCTGCTTTCATAACAGGAAAGAAATATGTTCAATCAAATCCAAAATAATTTGAAAACTATTATGAAAGCTCTTTTAATACGCAAACATGCAGAATCCATTTTATATTTTGAATCTATGATAAAAAAACAGACAAAAAAAACTAAAACTAATAATAACTAAAAACAAAATAAAACTGGAGGACTATTTGCTTGATTTTTGCTGTTTTCTTTCTGAGCACTTTTGACGGGATGATTTTGGCTCATGTGACAAAGTTTGGACACCCCTGCTCTCAGCACTCTGCATCAGAGTGAAATTCCCCATTAGACCATAAAAATCAGTAAAAGGACCTTACCTTACAGGCTGTGTGACAGAGTCACAGAGTATTTATGGTGTCAGTCAGCTGTTTCTGATCAGAACTAGAGTGCTCAGCCAGAGGCGAGAGTGTTTGATACTGATTTAAAGTGTCGTTAAATGGATTAAAGTTCACATTTTATGTGTGCTACAATAAACCGTTTCTGCATGTGAAGTTGCTATGCTGTGCTCCGATACGGTTCAGGCCTAATTCACAACAGCACAACACAAACCAACACAAATTGAAAACGTTTGAATTCCTGTATTTTCAGATTTTCATTGAATCAAAATTAAAAACCGTGTTTTAGTTCAGAGGAGATCTGGAGGAGAAGAAGAAGCGACGCTGGACACCATTTGGGTTTTGGGGCGAACTGGACGTTCAGCAGATTAGAAATCTAGATCCTGAAACCAGGAAAAGCTTCAACAGAGAGGAAATTCAGAATCATGAGCACAGTATGTGTACTGTGCTCATGACTCTGAATTCCTTCTTGTTGGCTTCAAGAATCTGTAATCGCGCAGAACATTGAATAGCAAAGTATTTTATCTTGGTCATTTCAGCTACTTCAGCCGGCTCTCAGCGGAGGCTTCCAGGCTTCTCGGATGCCAGATTAAAAGAGAGTTGAGAAGTATTAAAGTGGAGTGAACAAACTGACCAGAGAATCAACAAAAGGATTTTCAAGTGAAAAGGTGAAAAATGTTTTCGAGTTTTTACCGGTACAAAACCAGTTTGCTACTGAGTCCAGTTCCCTTTAATCCTAAAGGATGAAGATGCTGGATGCTGATCTTAAGTGTAACTTAAGGAAGACATTGGGTTGATTTTTTTTTTAATGAGAATTTGTTGAGCAATACTGCCATCTGCTGGATGACCAGTTAAAAATAAAGTCAATCTGCAGCATTAATGGAAACATTCTCCCATCTCCCACAAATTTAAATTATACCATTTTGCAGGTGAATTTCTAAGATTTCCCTTTAAATTGTTCTATATTAATATATCCTCCTGACTACCAGTGGTTCATTTTTGTCCTCTGTAGAGGACATTTCTAAACTTTAATATCTCCAACCCCCTGCATTCTACTGAATTCATTCCTTTTGGTATCTGAGAGGATATTTAGGGCTTTTCAATACCACATGTGAAGGGGTGGGACTTTTGTTCATATCTTTTTCTAATACATAAAAATTGCATTCATCAGTAATAACATATTTTATGGGAAGAGACAAAGTAAAGTGCATAAAACCTTTTATTACCTTACAAAGAATGTGGGATTTAAAAAAATGGTGATTGGACAATATTTTTTTTCCTGGTAGTCAGGAGGATATATTGCTAGGAAAAACTCTAAATCCACCCATTTGCAATTCATGTTCTGTCCAAACAGCGACACTATCCTGTAATCTATTGACGAGGTATTCATCGGTGCTTCTCCACCTGGAACTCTTCCAGTTTTTTTTTTTTTTTTTGACAGCTTTTTCTAGTTTTTCTTTAGTCCAGTACCTGATTATTTTCACATTAATGCCTATTTCTAGTTTTAACATTTAAGTCACCCATGGAAAAGCTCCAAAACTGAAGGAATGACCAAGTGTCATGTCACCACGTAAGCATTTAGCAAAGAACCCGTTTTAAATTGGGTCACGAAGCCTGGACTGCCAGATGACATGGTTGCTCCACAGCAAGAAGGTCCTGGGTTCAAATTCTGGGATGAAAGTGTTTGTTTGTTCTTTTGTGCATATGAGGGTTTTCTCCAGGGACTCCGACTGCCTCTCACAGCCAAAAATGTTAGATTAAATGGTCTCTCTAAATTGCTCTTACTGTCCAGCGTACATGGCTGGTTGTCTGTGTGATTGGCAGCCTTACTAGATAAACGTCTCGGTATAATTTTATTATCCCACCTCTCCATCAATGACTGATGAAGGCAGGCTCCATCCATTGGTTGGTAAGTTTGTCTGATTTCAGAGAGAAATCAGTTTTTTTTTAGTCAAAAAGCATGGGAGCATCAGTGTTAATTTTTCCTCTTTAGATTAGGACGTTTTCTGACCTATGATGTCACCGCATTTGCCTTGGAATTGCTAAACAAGGTCATGACGTCCAGCTAATAAGTTGGGTGAATCTGCCTTTTTTATTCCTTGCAGCGATTTTGTAGTCCAAGTTCAGTTATGCTGAAGTTGTAGGGAGACAAATCAAAATGTTCAGTTCTAGGGTGTATTAACACACACGAGTCCTTACATTGTCCTTAGGCATCAGAGCCTCTTTGAAGTGTCTGGTTAAATACATTTTTTCTCTGGAATGAAAGTTAGTTTTGTGGAGCATTTATGAGGTACACAGCAAAGCAGCAAGCTGTTAACACTAAAATTACAGTCAAGTTTATTTTAGACATTAATTTTGTGTAATGAGGTCCTCGTCATTGGTTTGATAGCATTGAGCCTTCTGCTTCTGTTAGCGCTGTATGCTAGCTTTTAGCTGCCTCTTTGAGCATGTTTTGAATGTAATTATTTGGCTTTATTTTCCACCATTTTTGTCTTGGGAAACACATAACAAAAATGCATTCAGTGATGACCTTGATGCTCACATTAGATAAGTCCTTCAGTATGTTGAGGCTTTGTTTACTTCATTCATATTGTGGTAGCATTAATATTTAAATAGGTATCTGATATGCATGGACACTATTGTTAAGCTACGCTCCTTTTTGAGGGTAATTGGTGCAAATGGTGAGGGTGTAAATACACTAACAACAACATTGCGATGCATTTATTTGAATGCATAGTTCTACAGGTTTGCCGTCTTCATTCTCCTGCTCTGGGTACGGCTCTGGCTCCAACATGTAAGACTGGATGGAAAAGTCCTCCGTTGTTGACATCTTTAATAAACGTTGGAATAAAAGGTTTCCCTGCTGGTAGATAATGATATTGCTGCTATTAAACTATGAAAATGGCCAAACGGGGTGGAGTGGAACGTTGTGCAGCCTGGAGGGGTCATCTTCATTTTGGAGAGAGCTGCCTCACCATTGTGTTTGGAGCCAAACACGGTCAAGACCTGCAAGGCTACGTGCTTCAGATGTGGGAAACCTGAAACAGGAACCAATTGGAGCCAAAAAGTGGAAGGATCGGTCCTGACAAACTACTCCCTTCAGGGCCAAATCTGCTTGGAGGTCAACCAGCTGCATCTGTAGATGCCCAGCATTTACTCACTTGAAGTGGTGTGTGACTTCGTTTGAAAAGCTTCTGACATGAACATGGTGAGCTGAAGCTGTCAAAGGTTTACAGTGAATCTCTCAATAAAGTCAAGAGAAGAGGACGCGTCTTGCTGTCCCTAAACCTTGTCCTGCAGTGCAGGGAAGTGAGCTGGCATGGCTTCCTTCAACATCAAGTTTCCTCTGAAACTGAACTGCCCCGGCCCTGCAGCCTCAAGTTCAGCTCATCTAGATGTGAAGTAATGTCAACCAAAAGGCCATACTGCTCATCTGTTTCTCATTTTCTAGGAATTGAGAAAACTGTGTTCCGTTATGATTTGTTTTTTAGCTCTGCCAAAAACATGTTATTTCCCTCCTGATGGACCAGAAGCCTGCCAAAGCCCTGCGTTTGTTAAGCCGTCTCACATTGTTGTGCAGCAGGAGATCATCGGCATTGGCGTCGACTTCTCTGAGGAATTCCCTCACCCTGTGATGCTGCTAGGAAGAGGATGACAGAGGAAAACTGATCATCTTCATTATTGTGTTCATCATCAGCTAAGCATGCTCATCGGACAGAGAGGCACAGGCGACCCACTTTTCTTAAAGAAAAAAAAAAGGCAGTTTGAGACCATGTGAGAGAGAGAAAACACGGTGCATTATGCTGCTGAGCCGAACATCTGAATGCTGCAGATGAAACCGAGGCTCATCAGACTGGGAAGCATCACTTCAACCTGTTCTAGTCCAGTTCTGGTGAATCTGTTTGGACTGTAGCTTCAGCTTCCTGTTCTTAGCTGACAGTAGTGGCACCTCGCCCATCGTTGTCTTCTGCTGCTGAAGCCCGTCTGCTTTCAGTGTTTCCATACAATGTTCTGCACACTCCAACAAGTGGTCATTTCAGCTACTGTTGCTGTTCCAGCATTTTAGTCTTACATCCTGACAAGCAACCCAACTGTACCAAATTAAGTAGTAGTAATATGTGTATAATTTGAAGCTGGTGTCGGCAGCAATGTTTAGTAAGGACAAATTTTGAGGTCTAAAGATGTAAAGTTAGTTTCCAACAAAATAAGATGCTGGTTCTTTCAACATACATTTAGTGAAGATGAGTGTGGGATTGTTACAATTAGAATTAATCGTTTGTCACTCAACAATGAGATTAAAGTCCGCTCCACCAGTACAAACCATGTAGGAAAAATGTACAATATAAGCATAAATATGATGATGTTTGCATAATTTACAATATTAAATCAGTTCAATTTATACACACATACACATATAACCACCATGCGATTAGTGCGTGAGCTTTCGGGGTGTTCTGCTTTAGGGAAGAAGCTGTTTTTGAGTCTGTTTGTTTTTGTTTTGATGCACCTGTAGCGCCTCCCTGAGGTGCAGCGGGTCAAGTATTGTCATGCCATAATAAAAACTTGGGTAGCAGGAAGATAAAATATTCACCAACAAACACACGCTTCTGCTAATCTCACGGCCTCACTCACCTCGTCATCGTGGACCAGCTCCTTCTTCACCACTTTCATGGCAAACACCTGCTCATTCTTCTTTAGCCGGACCAGCAGCACTTTGGCGTAGCTACCTCGCCCAATCACCCGGATCAGCTCAAAGTCACCCAGACCCAGAGTGGTGCCTTGGGACAACTTAATGCCATCGATGCCGTCCACTACAGCCTTGATGTCCTGCAGGGGATTGAGGTCAGAGTCCTGTAAGTCGGAGGATGCAGTACGATGAGTTTTGGCTTTGGATGCTTTAAGCGAAAGAGTGACCAGGCCAATCTCTCACCTCCGTCTCCGCGTCTCCCCTTTTATCCACTGCACAGTTGTGTGGCAGAAAGGATACTGCGAAGAACGGAAAAAGAGACAGACGGCAACGTAAACATGCAACTCTGTTCTGGGCCAGCAGAGGGAGAAACATAATAACAAACAGAGTTATGGGAAAACATCAAACCAAGTGAAACCATGCAGCTCTTTGCAACAGCAACTCCAAACAGTCGGGTCTGACTGGCCCATCAGAGCCAGTCAGCTGAGCAGGAGGCCTGTGGGCTAAAGCAGTTAGAAAGCCGCTGAGAGTTACATAAGCAGTGATGATGAATGTGAGGTGAAGTGACCAAGGTTTAGTCTTTTTGATTTTTCTATAGTTGATGTTAACAGACTCTTCCATCAGGGGGAATCTGACCCTGACGGTTACATTCTTCCACATGGTTCGTTCTCAGATTAAATACTGTAAATACTGCCTTGAACTTATCATGTTCTAAGTATTATAGATACACAGAGGCTGCAGTGGGAGGAGCAGGTTATGGACTAACTGAGATAACACATGTGAATGTGCATTACATCAGCGGGAGGTTTTTGCACTCTACACATTATAGGCTTAGAGCCAAGAAAGGTTACGATACCCTTAAGATGACATCATTCTCACAACTTAAATCTGATTAAGAAGTCCTGCTCAAGTGCTTAAATTGTAATTTTTTACCAAATTCGTTTCGACTCATTTAAAGAAGTAGCGCTTCATTTCCTTGAGTAAAGCTTTTGGCTGCTCTACCCACCTGAGATCATTTCCCAGAGCTCAAAGTGAGATGATTCAGATACTTATTTTGGCAGAAAGTGCACTTGGGGATGTTTGCAAAACCATGCTGTGTTTTGCTAACCTTTCAAAAGCATCGCAGAAAAAATATATATGTTGATATTCACATGGCAGTCTTTTAAAACTACCTCCGCCTAATTTATTCATTCATATTTAACATTAATTTCATTTTGGGAATTTTTCACCTTATTAATACCATGTGGTCACTTAATTTCACAGTTTAGAATGAAGTAATCATTGAACTAATAGAAAAAAAAAAAGATCTAATCATCAAGTCCTGAGACGGGTCACTGATCGGCTGCAAAAAGCAGCACCATCTGGTGGGTGAACATAATAATCAGAAATATCAGAAATAATTAGTCCCAACACAAATAAAATAATTAATTATGTTAACTTAAGATCCAATATGGCCTGAGATGTTTTGTCCTGAGGAACAATTGTGTTGGTTTTGGTGTAGCTTAGCAACTTTGAGCTGATTTGAGAAACTAATGAGACTTTTTCACAAAAATGTAAACAAGTGTAAGTGTAACATGAGCTACCATCATTCATCACATTTCAAACTAAATGTTCACCAGACTGGTTCAGGGTTAAAACCTTTTAAACAGGGCGAAGCAGCAACACAAACATGCTGGGGATAACTTCTCTTTAACGAAGGAATGTCTTACTCCCGTCCGTGTCCTCCGTGTCGTCCGGTGGGACGTCCACCTCCTCTCTCTTGGCGTCTGCAGGGGGTTCCTGTGATGGCATGACTGGATCCTGAAAAAAGAATTTCAAAACTTCATCTAAGTATCCACTGACGTGATCCCCCAGATATCCAGCTACATGTCCCTGGATGTTTTTGCACTCTTGGTGAAGAGTGTGCTGAATCACATCAGCAAGGACCGTGGAAGAAAACTGCATTTGTAGAGTTGCTTCCAAACAAGCAGCCAAAGGAAAGAGAATGTGGGACTCCCTCAGAAAGTGGCATTCAGCTTTCTGGGGCCACAGAGTCACTAATCTGCCTCCGATGATGACACGCTGGTCAATATTCAAACGGCGGACACTGAGCTCGCTGTCAGAGCTAGCACTATCGACCACATTGACTTTCTAATCTGGACTTCTGTCTTCAGATTGCTGAGCTTGGAATCTGCTCTGCTCTGTGGTCAACTCGACTGGTCACGTGAAGCACAGCGCTGTGCTGTAGTGTTGACCAACTTCACAGAGGATGGAGCAGGAAGCGGAGCTGCAGAGTGACCGCTTAAGACACTGCAGAACACGTTCTGTGCTTACTGACAGCCAAACAGTGACTGAAGCTCAGTCACTGTTTGGTTGAGACCCATTAGACAGCATTAATAATATGTTAAGAAGTTTAGTAGGCGGTAAAAGAAGTTTTAAGTGGGGTTAGATTAGAAAACATCTCACAGAGCAAAGTTCAGTGTGTCTTCTAAGAAAGATAGAAACCAAAGCATTGACCAGCTAATCAGTCAAGACGACCGAGTTTCACATGTAAAGAAGTAAACACAGGGGTATTTTTTTTTTATTTTTTGGCCAGACAAATAAGGAGCACTGCAATGACTGGCTATTGGCTCAAATAAAGAAGAAAAGCTTCAGCTCCACCTCGGATACCGAGAGGTTCAAAGACTGTCGGTTAGCCAGGGGCCAAAAATAATCAGGCTCATTCTCTAGCTGTGTTGCGACAGCCTGTGTGTACTGATGAGCCAACAGGAATGTAGCTCAGGGTGGCGTGTGGATCCATACATCAGTCACACACACAACAAATTCAAATAGAAGTCAAATATGCCAAGTTGCTCTCCTTCTCCAAAGTCACGACCCGATTCCTCCCCGTTACTTCCCATCCACGTTAAACAGCACAACAAAACAACATTTTATGCTTTGCTCATCTAAAATGGGACATACTGGAACAGTTTTGATGCTTATACCACTTTTATGGGGGGGATTTTTCTGTCATAATCCAAGAGTGAGTACACATTTTCAGTTTGAAAGCAGGATTTTGTCTTTTTTTTTTCTCAAAACTTGTAATTCTTGTACTCAAAACTCCTCCTCGCGCTTAGACATAGTCTCTGCTCAGACTCTCTGCTTCCTTACGAAACATTTTCTGCTTGCTTCTGGAACAAAAATGCACCGTCGCCTGGCAACCTCTCAGCCAATTGAAAGTGTTGTACCTGCTAGAACAGTTTCTTAACCCTGGTCCTCATCGCCCCCCTGTTCTGCATGTTTTAGGTGTTTCCCTTCTGCCACACATCTGAATTGTATCTCTGGGTGATTAACAGGCGTCTGCAGTACTTGACGGTCATGCAATCATTTGAATCAGCTGTTCTGGAATAGAGGCACATCTAAAACATGCAGAGCAGGGGGGCGGTGAGGACCAGGGTTGAGAAACACTGTGCTGAAAGGAGTGCCTGTGTGGCTACTATCGATTGTAGCAACCTGCGTCACTCACTGGATGTAGGGAGAAACAATGGCCACAGCTTTCTGCTGCATGTTACACATCCACTAGCAGTGTGCTGATTGATCGCTAACAGCTTTCTGATATTAGGAAAGAGTTTGTTCATCCAACCAACTCCCTACATCCAGTGGGTGGCGCAGGTTGCTACAGTCGATAGTAGCCACACAGGTAGAAGCTCCAAACCTATTTCATTTGGAGCAGTGTCCTCTGGTGAAACATTTTATGTATAAGGAAGACTATACATCCCCAGATTTAGGGATGGACCAACTTTTTCCCAGTAGAAGAACATTTGTACACAGAAAACAAGACCAAGGGAAGGGATTAATAAGTAAACAACAATTGAGAAGGACTAAAATGATTGTATTTCCTTTTGGGCAAAGTTTATTCTTGAAGATTTCATTCTTCATGTAGGTTTCACGCTGAGTCTTCCTTTACGGGAATGTCAACAGGTGAATGATCTTTGTAAAAAGACCTGAGGTTCGCTTTGTTCTGTGAGGAAGGGTTTTTATTTTGTCAAAATGTCTTCTGATTGGTCTACATTAACATCTCTTTCACATTGCTTTACAAAACTACCTTGGTGCAAAAAACTTTAAGGCTCATGTATGTGCTGTCCCATGGACTACCTCATTTAAACTTACTGCTAATCCTAGAGAAAATGTCATGAGTGAAACGTCTTGGAAAGCCAAATCGTATGCATCAAAGAGCTCTGTGACCAGAATCGATGCAGGTTCCCCATTCAAATTGTTGCCTTAAGATGAAACACGCAGTGCTTTAAGATGGTGGACTCCATGGTGTTTTCCCACTCAGGGAACATGTCCTCACACTTTCTAACTGCTTGTAACTTGATTTCAGACCGGCGTGTTCCGTCGAGCCCAAATGCAGAAGAATAACTCACCATAAGCCTTTGGCAGGTCAGAGGGAGGAGTCTGTGACAGCGCTTATGGACCAACAGTTTGCAGCTGATACACTTGTAGCCCTGCCCGCCCAGCCCCCATATCCTTTCGCTACAGTGGCCACAGTAGGCTTTCTGGAAGACACAGACACACACACACAAGACCACAGACCAAACACACACACACATATTAGTTTCTCAATAACTGTTGAATTTATTCATCAAACACAGGCAATAATGTTAAGAAACAACAATAAATGTGAAATCAGGCTTTTAAGGATCTATTTGCAAAATAATTTATCAAATTAATTTTGTGTTCTTCCATTGTAGATTGTTGACGGGTTCGGTTCACAACAAAAATACACTTTATTTACAAAGTAAACTGGTCTGGTTGAATTATTGCCACAATCTGCCAGGTTCATCCAGTAACCAGATTCAGATTCTCATACACCTGCACACTAATTACAGTCATCTTAGTTCAATTCAGAAGATGTGTGCATTTACACCATGACCAAGTAACAGTCCACATAATTGTTACAAGGTGCACATATCCCAGTACATTTTGTAATAGGTGTATCAGTAGCTAATCAACACTGGCTGAAGCGTCTGAAGTCTAAATTTAAAATATCAACTTTGCAAAAACATATATTTTAACATGTTTACGGGTAAGCTTATATTCAGTTTGGCTTAAACTATAACTCATGTGTTTAGAGCATCTTAGGCTGTATTTGTTTGGTGTAGAAGCTGTTGTAGATTCAATGATGCAGAAATTCACCACTAAATGGGAATAAAAGTATTCAGATGTTGTAGCCGTCTGTCTCTTCATTAGGACAGCTTTTGGGATCCGACTTGCTGAATATCTGTCTTTTGCTCTCAACTGGAGGTCAGAGGTTAAACTGCAGATTGTGTCTCAGAGTAGGAAAGGTTATATAAAATTAGAGAAAAGCTTCTCTTCCTTATCCTCCCTATCCTTTTATCTGGTTTGCAGTATTATCATAGAGTTCAGAATCACTTATTCTTACACATCTACTTCAAGGCTGCCTTTCAGTTACATCACAAGCTCTCCGATGAGTTTGCCCATTCCTACCGTTTCTGTTGCTGGCCACCTTGGCTTGTGTTTATTTACGCTACATTAGTACCAAAGGATGTTCGCTTCGACGTGTTCATGACTCATCAAACCACAACTCCTCAGAAAGGAAGCGGACACTTGAAATGCGCCGCACGGATCTAGCTGTACCAGTACCATTCATAGACCGAGGCTGTAAAGAACAAAGAGCCTCAGTCGCTGCTCTGTTTCAGTGAAACTTCAAGGGGCAACATTCACTCATGCAAAGCCAACCTTGAGCAGATGCTAAGCGTACATTTATAAAATATTCATAAAGTTTTCTACTTTCCTTCTCTGCAACACACAGGAATGCCCTGTGGAGTAAAAAGAGCCTCCTTTAAACTTTGGCCTGATCAATACAATAAAAGAAACATGTTGGAAAGTCTGGTCTGTTTTCCGTAACACCCACATCTATCAGAAAACATGATAGTCATTATACAGCGTTTAGAAGCTTCAGTCAGTAACAAGCAGTGGAGTAAACATTAGAGGATGATTAAACACACCACACCTGATTGAACACAGGTTGTTGCTGGAGGTAACAACAACAAGGCATGTGGGACGTTTTCTACATGAGAAAATAAAAATGAGGCTCTACTAATAGTATAAACTCAGGATAAATAGCTGACAAAATTCAAACATTTTTTAAAGAAATTCAGCAACCTAGTTAAGTACAGTATTCTGAAATATAGCAACACGTCAACAGGCAGAGCTTCCACAGTAGCTTGTGTAATTGTTTTGAATGGAATACAATATGACAGCAGTTTAAGTTGTTCATCAGTGGAGATGATCACCACTCTGCAGCCACGTTAGATTGTCAGCTCTGATGGGACTTTGGAGATTTTCTGCCTTACATCCCGTAAAACTCAACCACTGAGTTTAAATACGAGGAAAAGAAGAGAAGCTTCAGGGAGGAGCTCAAGCTTTTCTTCTGCGTTTGAGCCAATAGAGTCTTTGCAGCGCTCCTCAATTGTCTTGTCAAAAATAACCCAGTTTTTTACTTCTTTACATGTGAAACTCTTCTCTTCCTTGTATTTAAACTCGGTGTGTATTTGGTCTTGACTCCGGGAGTCTTGACATGTGCCAGATCAGAAACGTCACCACTTCTACACCGGGTGTGTAGTTAAACCCCTCCAGACCAACAACGTGTGTGTAATCTACCTCTGTAGGTCCAGTCTGGTACTGGCCAAATTCTGGAGCAGGGCCTAGCAATCTTTACAGTACTTGGCATTTGGTCAAGAACAGCTCTGTGCATGGTGCTTTCAGGACTTAAAGCTTTACCATCCCTACAAGTCTTTATTGCTGTGAACGTCCCCTGGAGACTGTGCTGCAGTCCAAACTCCAGCTAACGTACAGCTGTCCTCTTATTTAAGACAACACCATAGCAGATCATAGAAGTGCCCAGAAATAATCACGGTCCTGCTATCCAGCTTGACGTCATGGTGCCAGGTTGACCTAAACTTTATAGAGACGATAGTAGTGAAAACAGCCCAAGACACAACTAAATGAGAAACAACATCCTTCTGCAGCAGAACTAAGACACTCTGCTTGTGAAATCCTCCACTAACCAACAGTAAATGTCTGTTGGTTAGTGGTTAAGTTTAAAAAAAATAAATAAATCACATTAAAGCAGAAAACAGTCTGAAGTGAAACTCTCCTGACCCGTCTTATAACACCTGGGTCGAGTTGAGTTTTTGGCAAGAGAAAATAAATCCTGGTAAAAAGTCAGTGAATCATTCAGAAACTAAGACGACACGATCAGGACGCATTGGAAACACTTTGATCATGTTTCGTTAACAGGTGCTGGAAAAGAATATTTTCCCTCTGTAGAAGTCAATCTTTTCAGTCCTCACATGTTTTGGCCGTTGTGTTTTGTTTGTATGAGGGAATTTTTCACAGTGGATCAGCTTTAAGAGGTGGGAGACTAAATTCTGCCAACCTCATGATGTTTTTGGGACGCTTTCTACATAAACGGCACCGACGGGGACAGATAGAGATGGGAAGGTGGAAAAAGTGCTGAAAGATGAGGGTGTTGGGTCTAGCAGAAAAAAAAGAAGGAAGGAGTGAGAGAAGAAGGGGGTGGAGGTTGGAGGGAGTCTGACCTACTTATGTTTGTCTTATTTATATGCCGAGGACAGCAGAGGGAACCAAGCAGGGGCTGCAGGCTGACTGGGATAGATCAACCACGCTAAAAATCCACTCGGTAATTTCTACGGAAAAATAATAATTTAAGAAGAGAGAAAAGCTTCTTATTTTCATTCTAGACCAAGCTCAGCTCAGCTCAGCTCACAACGACACATCAGAGAGAGGCGCTGGCTCTCATTACCTCTAAAGCTAATCAGGAAAACTGTTGTTCCCAGACAGGAACGAGACAGTTTGGGCAGAAGAAGCTCTATAACCAGCCGCTGTGTTATTAAACAGGTTAGCATATTAAAGTTGATCCTGAAGTGTTATAAAAGCAACATGACGACAAATGCTAAGCTAATATCAACGAGATCAAAAATGGCAAGGACTTGGAGGGGAAAACCCCCCCCCCCCACTATTTTCTAACACGTGGAGATCAATATGGACAAATCAGACTTTAATTATTTTAATGTTCATTTATGATGGAATTTTAAGGAAGGCAAATGACATGACTCTGAAGTGTGTGAGTTCAGTACTTTGACAGTTTATAGTGAAGACATGTAAAGAGAAAATGACTTGGACAAGATCAATGTTAGCCTCAGGATGAGAGGGAAATCGAAAGGAAATCTTTTGAAACACCGGAAACAAAAGAAAACGTTTTACAGCCGGGTAGTGGAAGTACAACAGCTGAGTGTGTGTGCGTGCGTGCGTGCGCGCGTGCGTGCGTGCGTGCGTGTGTGTGGATGGTTTTCTGGGTTTGGCTCTCTTATTTCCAGTGAAGGGAACTCTTAATGCTGCAACACACAAAGACATTTTGGACAACTTCATGTTCCCGCCCGGGAAACAGTGGGAACAAACTGTGCATCAGTACCCAAAGCAAAGTCCATAAGGACCTGGATGAGTGTCAAAGAACCTGAGTGATTTGTACAGAATCAGACTCACTACTACTGACATAATCTTGGAACAGATCTTGGGCTGAAGGCACCAAAACAAGACTCCACAGTCCTGCATTACCACAGGTCACATTTGGACTAGTTTTACCCCAAAATCTGTGGAGCAGCTGAATAATAGAGTCTAGGTTGTCCTTAGAGCTTTTGGAAATGTTAACAGTTTTCTTAGCCTGACAGAAAACAGGAATATTAACACACTAGATATATGTGACGCACCACAAGAATACGAGAAAGAAGCCATCAGAGCTGAAAATGAGAAAAAAGATTAAAAGAAACCCACCAATTTCTGAGAAGATTGTGATTTTTTTTTTCTAGTGAGGATGTGCTGAAATCGCCCTATGCTTAAAATAGCAGCCTCAGCGGTTTTAAAGTGGTAAACTCTGTACTTGAATTCAGATTGTTTACTGAGTAAGTCAAATTGTTTCAGGGGATGTGGCAGAAACTCACAGACGATTAACATGCTGGCCTTCATTGGCTACTCACATACTTTTGTTATTGGTTCTGGCCAACAAGATGAGAGTCTGAAAGAAACACATGGCTGCTTAACATTGCCATCACATCACCTTGATGCTTGCAGGTTATGGGCCGATGGAAAAAAAGACTGCAGCCCAGGTCTATCTAAGGGTTCGGGCCGAAAGGAGAAAGGAGAAATCTCCATGTTGAAATTTGCTGCATGTTGAGCGGCAAATTTTCTCCAGAGTTCAACCCGCTGATGGATTCTTTAACATCAGAAGGCGAGCAGCAGGACATCAAAATAATTAAGCGTCTTGAAACCTGAAGACGAAGAGCCTTACTTCAACATCCACCAGAAAGATACGAGTGAAAAGAAAACACACCAGTCTTACTTATGTGATTGCAGCAGTTAATTATTAGTTAGTTACTGCAAAGTAATTGAAATGAAAAGCTAAGTTAACATCCCCCAGTGGCTGATCAGGTTTGGGGGAAATTCTATTGAAAAC